TTTTTTTTTTTTTTTTTTATGTTATTTCATGTTCCATTAGTACTATTACAAAAAAAAAAAAAAAAAAAAAAAAAAAAAATGAATTTTTATAATAAATGAAATAAATAATATACTCAACTTTTTTTTTTGGCCTATATGAAATAATGTGTTTTTTTTTTAAACATTAGTATTTACTTAAAATTATGTGAAACATTCAATTAATTCATTGCTTCATTTTAGACTTCTTAAAGTGAAAAGACATGTGGTTAGCTTGTTTATTGATAATTATGATTCCTATTCACTCATATAATGTTGTACATTTTTTGTATAAAATGAATAATATAGAACCAATAGTTATAAAGCTAGACAAAATATATTTTAATGAATTCATGAAAAAATATTATGAAAAAATTTATAATATTATTATATCAGCAGGATATGGATATTCTATAATAGATACCAAAAATAGGCAAAAAAATTTTAGAAAAAAAAATTGACAACAATTTTAGGAATATGTTATGGTTATCAATTAATTTGTTATTTTTATGGATACAAAATAAATAAAATAAAAAATATGTTTCATAGGAATACAAATATAATTAATATATGAAAATATGAAAATCAAACAAGTGAATTATTTGATAATATTAATAATAAATTTGAAACTGTTTGTTATAATTCTTTAAAAGTAAGTAAACATATGAGTAATGTTTTAATTATAGCTTGTTATTCTATTTATTTGAATGAATATATATTGATGGATATAAAACTTACATATTTGCCATACCACACTGCTCAATATAATCTGAAATCCGTAGAAAGAAATTTTGATAAGGTATTTTTTGAATATTATAAAAATATTACATTCAAATATAATAAATAAAAAAAAAAAAACTTCTTTTAAATTGTTAGAATATATATAAATCTTTCATAAAAAATTTAGAAAAAAAAAAAAAAAGAGAAAAAGAAATTTAAATAGAAACTAAATATTTTAAAAGTTATTATTGCCAAAAATCTGTGTTTTCTTTCCTATAAAAATTTAAAAAATGTATTTTATAATGACAATAAGTTATTGGATTTATAGAAATAATGAAATTTCATATAGAAATAAGGAAAAGTACAATTACAATAAAAAAATGAAAATAATGAATATTCCTCTGAAAAAGAATATTTTCATAAAGAAATTTTAAATAATATAAGATATTCTCACATAAGAAATACTAAAGAATTTTTAAGTGAAATTATAGAATATTATTTAGAGAAGGACAATAATATAAGTTTAAACAATATTATTGTTATTTTAAAGAAAAAACAAAAAAAAAAAATATGAAGTTAATTATATAAATCAGGAAGACAATTGTTTAGTTCCTCATTTAAAAGAAAGAATTTAATTTTTTTAAAAATAATTTTATAATTGATTATGAATATATTAATATATCTAAATAATTATTTGGTAAAAAAAAAAAAAAAAAAACTCTACACATAATAATTCTAATATATATAGTGATAGTATAAATTTTAATACTACTTCATTGTTATTGGATATAGATAACCACATTAATAAAAATTTGCTTTTAAATTATTATCAAAGTAGATATATTTTTACCAAGTATAGGATAGAAAATGATGAATTTATAAACAATAAAAATTCTTGTTTATTTTGATATATTGGTTTTTTTTTTTTACTATTATTACAAATATGAAACCATAAAATATATGTACAATAAAAAATACAAAACTATTAAAAGGGAAGAAGTTATCCCTATTTCAATTTTTATTTTTTCTCAGAATCCTCTTGTATTTGATTTACTTAAAAATAATATATATATAATATCTGTATAACCTTAAGAAGAATCTTTACATAGTTATTTGTTTAGTTCAAAAAATTTGTTAAACAAAAGTGAACAAAATTACGTAAGTTACAATTTAAAAAATGATTTAGAAAAATCATTTGAATTTTAAGTATCTGATTTGAAAAGATATAATGATATTAAAGAACCTAATATGTATTGGAAATACACAACTTTACACAAATTTATTGAGATTATAAAAACTTTTATTAAAGAAAAGAAAAAATAAAATATAAAAAAGAAGATACTCAAATAAATAAAAATATTCTCAAGAATTTAAGCACAAATAACAATAATATAATTTTTATTTATTTAATTAATAAACAAAAATATATGGAAAATATAAGAAAATGTAAAAAGTAAATTGGAGATGGTTATTCTTATGAATCATTCTTAACAAAGAAATTTAATGGGTGTTATCATATATCAATTAGTTTTTTAGATTTATGTAAATATATGAGAAGTAAAAATAAAATTTTTTACAAATACTACATACACTATAATAAAAATTTATATATTCATGATAATATGAATGAGCATTTCTTAAAAATGAAAATTCACCATAACCAATTTATAATAATATGTATTAGCTAAGAAGAGTTTCTAAGAAAAGATAAAGAAGAAATTATATTTAGCAAACCAATTAAAGGCATAACTAAAAGAGGGAAAACGGAAGAAGAAGATATAAAATTAAAAAATGAGCTGTTAAATAATAAAAAAGAAAGATGAGAAAATCTAAAGATAATATATCTTACGATAAGTGATTTTAATATAATATGTAAGATTAATACTATTAATGTTTCTAATTTATTTCACATAGAAATATATCCTTTTCTTATTTAAATTGTATCACAAATAACAGGATGAATTTAAAAATATATAAATTCCGATAATGTTATCATAAATATTTTTTCTGGGGGTTCTCTGATAGGAGCACCAAAATTAATATCAATGTCTATCTTACAAGAGTATAATAAAAAAAGAAATAAAATTATAAAAATAAATGTGTAAGAGCATATACTTATATATATATATATTAGTTTTTATTTTGATAAGATTACATTCATTAGAACATTTTTTTATATTTTATTACTATTTTATTTTTACATATATATAGTATTTATAATGATCAAAGATATACATATTCAAGTTGTATTGTTTTACTTCCTTTGAAGAAATTTTTATTTTTAACATTGTTATTAAAATAGCAATAATATGAAGTAATACTTTATATAAATACATTATAAAAATAAAATAATTATTATTAAATTTAAATTTTGTCTCTTGTTTTTGTAGATTTCTGTAAGTGCAAATGGAGCTATTACAATTAAAAGTGACGATAAGAATTAGTATTACGAAATGCTTCTAAAATTTATGTTCATAGCAAGGCTAATTAGTTAACATTTAGATAATTTTAAATAACTATAATATCCTTAATTTTGTTAAATTATAAAGATTTTTTTTTTTTTTTTTATATTTCTACTTTTGGAATGAATTTATTTAAAAAAATATCATAATGTTAAAGTGGAATACTTCTTTGAATAGCATGTGTTTACTTTTTTTTTTTTTTTTTTAAGGTGGTGTGTATATTTTATTTTTATTTTTATTTTTTCTTTTTAATAGAAATAAAGAAAATTAATTTTCATATTATAAAATTATATTTAATATAATGAGATTACATTAATTTCATATTATTTTATCTATTAAATAAAACTTTTAAGTTTTAATTGGGGATAGTTATATTTTTCAATTAACATTCTATTCAAAATATTTATTTATTATGTTTCTATTACTTATCAATATAATTTTAAATATTAACATAAATCACATATAAACTAAAGCTCACTTAATAATTAAAGAAATTTTATAAAATAAAATTTTTAAATTTTTATTTTGAATTACATTTAGCGCAAGTAGAAAAAAATATGCATGCATTAAAATATGAAAAATATAAATATACATAATTCCTTTAAAATTATTAAAAAAAAAAAAAAATGTTCTACATATATATATATAAGATACTACAAAATAATTTTTATTAAAACAAAAATAAAACACACATAATACTATAAAATTATATTTATTAAAAAAAAGAAAGAAAATTTTTATAAAGAATTTCTTTAATTAGAATTATAAAATATAAAATCCTTAAATTTTAAAAAGGAATTTTAAAAAATATAATTTATAAAAAATAAAAAAGTTCTTTGAAGGAGAAATTAATTTCAAGTATTTTATTTTTTTTTTTAATAATATTGATACATATATATAATGAATAATATTTTTTCATATCATATATAATATACTGTTCATAATATATATATATATATAATAATCATATATATAGTAAATATAGGTAATTTTTTTGAAAATTTACAGAAAACTAGCGAAAATGTTAGGTAACAAATTAAGTTTGACTGATATAAAAGATATAAAAAACAAGAAAGTTTTGGTAAGAGTTGATTTTAATGTTCCAATAGACAATGGAATAATTAAGGATAATACAAGAATTACTGCTACATTACCAACAATTAAATATTTAAAAAAAGAAGGTGCATCTAAAATTATATTAATATCACATTGTGGAAGACCTGATGGTTTAAGAAATTTAAAGTATACATTAAAACCAGTGGCTGAAAATTTAAAGAGTTTACTAGGTGAAGAGGTATTATTTTTGGATGAATGTGTAGGAAAAGAAGTAGAAAAACAAATTAATGAAGCGAAAGATAATTCAATAATTTTATTAGAAAATTTACGATTTCATATAGAAGAAGAAGGAAAAGGAATAGATGAAAATGGAAAAAAAATAAAAGCAAAAACAGAAGATATAGAAAAATTTCAAAATGATCTTACAAAATTGGGTGATATTTTTATAAATGATGCATTTGGTACAGCACATCGTCCACATAGTAGTATGGTTGGAATTAAATTGAATGTAAAAGCTTCAGGATTTTTAATGAAGAAAGAATTAGAATATTTTAGCAAAGCATTAGAAAATCCTCAAAGACCATTTTTAGCTATTTTAGGTGGAGCAAAAGTATCAGATAAAATACAATTAATTAGAAATTTATTAGATAAAGTTAATAGAATGATAATTGGTGGTGGCATGGCATATACCTTTAAGCATGTTTTAAATAAAATGAAAATTGGAAGTTCATTATTTGACGAAGAGGGAAGTAAAATAGTAGAGGATATTATGAAAAAGGCAAAAGAGAAAAATGTACAAATTTATTTACCTGTAGATTTTAAAATAGCAGATAAGTTCTCAAATGATGCTAATACAAAAATAGTAACAGAAGAAGAAGGAATAGAAGATAATTGGATGGGAATGGATGCAGGAAATAAAACTATTCAAAATTATAGGGATGTTATTTTGACTTCTAAAACTATTATATGGAATGGACCACAAGGAGTTTTTGAAATGCCAAATTTTGCAAAAGGTAGTATTGAATGCCTAAATCTTGTTGTTGAAGCTACCAAGAATGGAAGTATTTCTATCGTTGGAGGGGGTGATACAGCTTCATTAGTGGAACAACAAAAAAAAAAAAATGAAATTAGCCATGTATCTACAGGAGGAGGAGCATCACTTGAACTTTTAGAAGGAAAACAATTACCAGGTGTACAAGCATTATCCAACAAATAAGAAAAAAAAAAAAAAATGTAAGTTTATTATATATATATATATAAAGTTCACATAGAAATAAACAATTTAAATGTAAATTAAAAAATAATATATTTCTTATTACAAAATTTATGTTTTATTTATAATTTTATTTCCATATTTATAAAAAATACACCGACCTTGTTAATTCAAATATTTTTTTAATTAAATAATAATTTTACAAGTATTCAAGATAGCAAAAACCGAGAAAAAAAAAAATTAAATTATAATTAATTCCTATATTTTCAATATATTATAATCACTACTTTCAAATCCATACCCTCAGTATTTTTCTTTATTATTTCCATGTTTTAACAAAAATACCAAAATAGGATAATTTATTTATCAATTGTACACTAAAATATTCTTTTTTTTTTTTTATTTAAGCACTTAAATGTTAAAGAATTTAAAATTTTATTTATATATATAATAATAAAAAAAAAAAAAATTAAAAAGAACAAACGGAATAAAAATATACTTAATTAGTGCCTTAAACCTTTACACAATTAAAAAAAAAAAAATAAAGTTAAAATGCACTAATTTCTATTTTTTTAAAACCCTTTTTCTTCAATTTTGTTAATATTGTTTTTCTTATTTTTATATATATTTCACTTTTATAATACATAGATAATTTTTTATGCAAAAAAAAAAATTAATATTTTAGATTAATTAAAAAAAAAGAAAGATTTATTTATATATTTGAATTATTATACTCCCCTTAATAGTGCCGAAACAAAGAAGCAATTTTAGATAGAAATTTTCTTGAGAATTTAACTTTTTTTAAATATTCTTTTTTCTATTTTTTGAATTAATCGAATTAAAATTTATAAAATAAAAAGAACATTTTTTTTTCAAAAAGTTTCATTAAAATTAAAATTATAAAAAATACTTTTGAATGTATTGCAAAATTTAATGTAAAATTAAAAATTTTATTTTTCAATAAATTATAAAAGTTTCAAAATATTTGAATATTTCTTTTAAATTTTAATATTTTATTAACATAATTTCATTTAAATATTTTAAATTAAATCAAAAATACAAAGGGATAATAATATCAGAATATTTTTAATTAAAGAAACCACTACCATATAGAAATTTCCCAAGATATTATAGAAAATGAGTAAGAATAAAAATATGAGATAATAATTTAAATGGGGTCGATAAAATACTTTTTATTACATATATGTTAAAGAAAAGTGTATTCTGATAATTATATATAATATATATACATATATATTTATATACATATATATTTATATATATATATAAGTATATAACAATTAATAATAAGATATATAATAAATAGTTTATTATTAATATGTATCCTATAATTTATTATATTTTTCATTATTTTTTATTTTTTTCTATATATAAAATTTAATAGAGTCTGTTTGTTTTTCTAATATTGTGGAGCTCTTTGAATTTATAAATGATAAGAAGAATAACGTGGAGATAGTTGCTTGTATTATTAGTAATATTTTAGGAAGTTTTTATAAGTGCTTTTTTTACGTTAATGAAATAACTTTAAATAAATTAGAAAATGGATTTCCATTTGATGCATCATCTATTAAATTATGCTCCGACACAGAACTTAGTGATTTTTATATTAAAGCAGACTATCAAACTTGTTATATTGAAGAAACAGATGGAAGAAATGTTTTAAATGTCATATGTGATATTAAAAGATATAATGGGTTTGATTATTATAAGTGCCCAAGAACAATATTAAAGAAAGCTTGTGATTACATTAAAAAAAAAGGAGTAGCTGATAAGGTTTGTATAGGTAATGAAGTGGAATTTTTTATATTTGATAAGGTGAATTATAGCTTAGATGAATATAATTCATATCTAAAAGTTTATGATAGAGAATCATTTTGTTGTAAAAATGATTTATCTGAAGTATGTGGGCAAAATAATATAAATAAATCGGATTTTTATGGGGAATCATCTTCTATTAATAATAATTTTACATTTAATGATGATAGTAAGAAGGTAAAAAAAAAGTGTGGTTATTTTGCAACAGATCCATATGATACTTCCAATATAATTAAACATAGGATTTGCAGAACTTTAAATAATTTAAATATTAGTGTGCAAAGATATCATCATGAAGTGTCAACTAGCCAACATGAAATATCATTAAAATATTTTGATGCATTAAAAAATGCTGATAATTTATTTATAGCTAAGCATATAATAAAAAGAATTGTTCACAATTTCAATAGAACAGCCACATTTATGCCTAAACCATTAGTTAGCGATAATGGTAATGGTTTACATTGTAATATTTCCTTGTGGAAGGATAATAAGAATATTTTTTTTAATGATGATCCATCTACTTTTTTTTTATCTAAAGATGCTTTTTATTTCATGAATGGAATAATAAAACATTCGAAAGCATTACAAGCTTTTTGTAATTCAACTATGAATTCTTATAAGAGATTAGTACCAGGTTTTGAAACATGTCAGAAATTGTTTTACTCTTTTGGGTCAAGAAGTGCTGTTATAAGATTATCACTGATCAATCACGATAATTCTTCTGAAAAAAGAATTGAATATAGACTACCAGATAATGTTAATTCTCCACATTTAATGACTGCTGCTATTATTTTAGCTGGATATGATGGAATTAAAACAAAGGAACAACCATTAGTTCCTTTTGAGAACAAAAATGATAAATTCTTTATATCTAGTGTATTTTCCAACTATGTTGAGAATTCAGAAGAGTTTAAAACACTTACACATGCATTATCAGACTATGATTCTATGTATAATTTAAAAGATTCTCCAGATTTTCACAATTTTTTTAAATGCAAAGAACCAGAGAGTATTTCTTTTTCTCTAGCAGAAAGTTTAGATGCACTTGAAAAGGATCATCATTTTTTAACTGTTGACAATATTTTTTCAGAGGTTTGGAAATCATAAAATAATATTTATATGATATATGCTAATATATATAAAAAAAAAAAAAAAAAAATTAGAATATTATGAAATGAACAGAATATAAATATATAAAGAGAATTATATCAAGATAATAAGAATAATAATTCAATTAAAAATATCTTCCTTATTTTATATAAAAATAATGTGCATTAATGCTTAAAATATATTTATTTTCTATTTATGAAATTATTTATACAATATATATATATATATATATATTTTTTTTTTTTTTTTTTATAGGAAATGATACAAGAATATATAAAATATAAGAGAGAAGAGATTTTTTCTTATAATAAAAATGTAACTGCTCTTGATTATCATCTTTATTTTGATTGTTAGACATCTTAGAATTATTACCAAAATATTTTAATAAAGAAACTTATTACATTTTTAAATATGATATATTTCTTCCAAATATTTTTATAAATAAAATTCAATAATGAATTAAAAAAAAAAATTATGTTTTTTTAATATTAAATATGTATAAGAATATATATTCATTTAATTATGTTTTTAAATTTTAATAAACTATTTACTTTTTTAATTTTTATTAAATGCTTTTTATTAAATTCATTATTTTTATTAAAATAATAAAAATTCTTAAGGCTTAAAAAAATACAAAAAACAAGAAAGAACAAAGTAACTTATAAAAATATAAATTATCTTATTTTTTAAAAATTAGAAATATATAAAAAAAAAAGAAATTAAAAAAAATACAAATTATTAATTTTATAATAGTAGAAAAGTTATATATGAATTGTAGACAAATTAACTGCTTCTGACGGATTTGTGCAATATTTTCTTTGACAAAAAGATAGCAATCTAATAAAAAAGAGAAAAATAAAAAATATTAAAATTCAAATTTCTTGGAGAATTAATGTACATATATCTTTTCTTAATATACCTTTTAATCATCTGAATATATTTTCTAGTAGTTTCATCATTTAATATATGTGCAACCTATTAAATTATGTAAAAATATGATTATAAGTCATATTAAAAAAAAAAAAAAAAAAGGAAAATATACAAAATATAACTTTTAAGCTATATTTTGTAAAAAAAAAATTTTATTCTATTATGTTTAAATAAATTTTTCTTTTTACTTCTGATGTAAAAATTTTTGATCGTCCTGCTCTCTCATGAATACCAACCATCGTAACACCCATAGGCCATGCAGCATTACCTATGGCTAGCAACATATAGCTAAAAAAAAAAAAAAAAAAAAAAATTACATAAAAATATAATTATAAAAAGATAAAATAAAAAAAAAAAAAAAAAAACTATATGTACAACTAATAATTAAAATAATTTTTTTTTTTTTTTTTTTTTTTTTTTAACGCATCATGAGCAGCTTTGAAATTTCTTTTTTGACAACAAGAAACAATGTTGTATATTTTCTCTAGTATATCGGGTTCTAAACTATATTTAAAAAAAATTGACAAATATATATAATAATTATGTTTGATACTAAAAATATTTAATTTGAATAATTTTTTTTAAAATATACGTTTTCTGTTTTAGTTTTTTTTCAAGAGGTTTTAAATCTTTATGTGTTTGTAAATACGTAGCTTGTTTTATTTTTTTTTTATTATCATCATTTTCAATTTCTTCATTCCATTCTTTCATAGTACTTTTTATCCAGTCGTATATAATTTTTTCCTTATCTAATTCATTTCCTTTATCATCATTTTGTTTTTCATTTATGGAGGATTTTAAATTAGTTATATCTTTTGAATCAGTATTATCACTTTCATCTTCTAAATTATCTTCAATTAGATCAAGGGAGTTTTCTTTTAATCTAAAAAAATATGGTATATATATATATATATATATAATATGAATTTCTTGTAATATATAATTTTTTTTTAAATATATAACCTTCCTCTTAATACATCACCAAAAACATTTTGCTCATTTATTTTCAACTCGTTTTTATTTATTTTTAATTCTTTCAACCTATTATACCTAAATTATAAAATATTAATATACACTAGTTAGAATATTATTAATAAAAGTATTTGTATTTTGTTTACATACCTTTGCAAATCAGTTTCTCCAAATAACCTAATTGGTTCTTTTAATTGTCGGAGTAGCATAATTATTTGTTTGTTACTTAAAGTTATTTCTAAATATAAACATAAAATCATATATATATAAATATATAATTAATAAATAGTAATTATTTAAGTAATAATATTATATAAAACTCATTAGTAAATTTAATCATATATATGTAATAATAACATAATCATTGTTTTTCATGACTATAATTATAACAGTCCTTTTTAAAATAATTTATCTCTATTAAGTTATAATAATATTTTTTTTTTTTTTTTTTTTTTAAACCTATATTTATTTCTTCATTATCTATGTCTGTGCTATTTTTTTTGTGTTTTAAGTCTAATGTTTCATTTAATTTCTTAAAAAAAAAAAAAAAAAGAAAAACAACATATTCTACACAATACAAAAACATGTATTATATATTATATTTTGTATTTCAAAAAATTTTTCTTTACCTTTAGTCTCTCATATTCTTCAATTTTTTTTTTCTTATTTTCTTTTTCATAAAATTTGTTAATTTCCTTATTTTTCTGTTCTTCTAACTCTGCTTGTTTAAACCATCTTTTATTTCCTTTAATTTCTATTTTATACAAAAAAAAAAAAAAAAAAAAAAATATATTTATTTTAATTAATGTATATAATAAAAAAAAAAAAAGAAAAATTATTATATCTAAACCTTTTATTTCTTCTTTTTTTTTTTTAATAAAATTATCCAATAAATCCATGATTCGTATTTGTTATAATTATTAACTCATAATGTAATTTAAAAAGAATTAAACACTTTTTTAAAAAAATACATATGAAATATTAATTTTTTTTTTCAAGAGATTATTCAATGAAAATTATAATTAAATTATATATTATTTTAAATATAATGTAAAATATTAATTGTAAAATTTTTTTGTTTCACGAAAATGTTTTTCTAAGAAAAGTCTAAAACTTCTAGACAATATAATTTTTAAAACTTCTATGAAATCGTAAGAATATATAAATTATTTTATTATTTTTTTTTTTAAGCTTTAATGAGATATTCATAAAAAATACAATTTTTGATTAACTATAATTTTGTTAATTATAGAAGGAATTTGTTAAAAGAGTTAAATATATATTTGTAATTTATTTACATCAATCTTTTATTTTCATAACAATGGTTGTTTCTAAAAATTTTATTAAAGTAATTTCTTATTATTATTATATATAATTTCATTAATTTTTCCTTTTTACAAATCTCTCTTTTTTTTTTTTTTTTTTAAATATATTTTTTTTTTTTTATTTAAATTTTGATATACTTTAAATATAAAAAAAGTTATAAACTTTCTAATTAAAAAATTATGAAAAAGTTTTAAAAAGAAAATTCACATTCATTTTAAATAAATAAAATTTTTATATTAATGCTATTAAAAAAAAAAAAAAATGGAAATATTATTTTTTTTAATTCAAAATATATTAATTTAAAATAATATATAGTATTTAGTTTCTAAAAGAAAATTTATATAGCATTATAAAGTAGTTTATCTTTTTTATAAATTATGATATGCATATATAAAGTTAATCAAATAAAAGGTTATTCACACATTTGTTTTATATATTGAAAAACGATATAATTTCATAATAATTATTAATAAGTATGAATAATTTAAAATTTAGTTAAGATAAAAACATTTTTTGGGTAATTTTATTAAATGCATTTTTGCACATTTTAATAAAAATTCTTATATAAAACTCATTGTAGAAGAAAAAAAAAAAATATATATATATATTTTTCATTTATACTGAAAAACAAATAAAGATAAATAACAAAAAAAATTATTTTTTATTTATTTCTTTTTTTTTTTTTAATAATTTATAACATAAAAAAAAAAAAAAAAATAAAATTCCAAACTTAAAAAAAATTTTAAAATTCATTGTATAGGATTCCATATATATATATATATATATATATATATATATATTTATCTGTTAATTTTTTTGTTGTAATTAGGATATTAATTTATAATTTATAAAAAAAATATAAACATAACTTTATTATAAATTACTAAAAGGCATAGATAGCAAGTTAACAGAATTAAAAACTTCTTCAATTGAGGGACTTGAAGGAAATAAGCTTAAAATAATTTTTAATTCATTCAATGCATCGTTATCAAAGTTAAAAATAATATTTAATAAATCCATATTAAAGTAATAAGTTTTATTTTTTAATAATTTTGTTGAAAACGTATGAAAATGTAAGTATTTTTTAATATGGAAAAGAATTTTAGGGTTGTTTGATATATAAATGAAAAAGTTAAAATATATAGTATAAAGCGAGTTATTAATTACATTATTATTTAATAAATTAATGTATTCCATTTGACTTTGTTTTTTAAAAGAATTATATTTATTAGAAGAGCTGTCTATCAGGTGATAAAAATCAATATTATAGTATACGTTATCTTTTATACTATTTTTTATGATATCTTTATAATCCTTTATATCATTAATACGATATTTATTCATTTCTTCTATTTTTCGTAATATGGTTTTTTCTAATAAATTTGTATTTTCGAAACTTTTTAAAATATATTTATGTTTAACTAAATTATTTAAATTATCAACATCTTTCATATCATAAATTAAATTAGTATGTGTATCAAAATTAATGTCAACACATTCTTTGTTTTTATTTAGACTATATTTTTCGTTTATGGGAGTAAAATGCATATTATAAAGTTGACTTTTAATTATATCTTTATAATCATTTATCATATTAATAAGACAAAAATAATGGACATTTTTATTCACTTTTTGTTCATATATATCATTTAATAAATCAAATGCATTTTTTCTATCGGAAAAATCATAAGAACTTAATTTCAAAAGTCTGTTAAATACTTTTAATTTTAGCTCTAATAAAAATTCACTCGTTAATTTTCTGTTAGATACTTTTTTTAAAAATATAATTTTTTTATTTAAGTAAATAAATATTCTATGAAGAAAAATATGTAAAAATAATCTATATTTCTTTTTCATAAAATATTGATTAAAAAAATAATATTTTTTCATCATTTTCAGTTTTTTTATATCTCTATATTTTTTTTTGTATAAAAAAGTTTTATTTAATATATTTTCTTGATTTTTTTTTCCATTTATTAATATTTGAAAAAATAACATTAAATCATAACATATTTCCATATGTCTGTTATCATCATAAAAATAATTTTCTTTCTTTTCTTTAAGAACTATACTATGTATGTTAAATATATTATATTTTTTATCCACAAGAAAAAAATTTATAAAAAATTTATGATATTTTCTTAAACTTTCAATCATACTTTCATTCTTGTTTATATTTAAATTATATCCAATTATATTATGAAATAACTTATTTTCAAATAAAAATTTTATATTATTTCTAAATTTTAAATTTCCTATATTTATTAAATCATAACAAAAAACATGGTAAACTGATAAAATATTTCTTGATATAACATTTATACTATCAAAGATACTGCGAAAAACTAAAGATCTTTTATATTTTTCATTTATAATCATATTGTTAATATTATAAAAAACATTTGAGAAAAGCAAATAAAGACAATTTCTATGTTCATTATACATATATAAATGTATATAATTTTCTGTTGTTACTAATATTTTGTTTTCAAAAATGATAAGATCATTTATATGTTCTAAATTTTCCTTATAGGTATAATATTCAATTATTTCATATTTTAAATTATAAAAAAAATCTTTTTCTTTATCATAAAAAATGTCATCAAAAATGTAATCTGATAATTTTAAAGAATTTTTTTCTAACTTATTTTTTTCTTTTTCATCAAAACTTACATCATTATTAATATTTGATGATATTGAATTAGAACTAAAACTAGAACTTAAATTTATGTTATCATTATTTTCTCGATTTGTATTATTACCTCTTCTTAATCTAATTTTTCCTTTTATTAAATTTTCTAAATATTCTTTTTCATTTAGATTAGAATTTTCTCTTTTTTTTTTTCTTATAATTTTTTTGTTTTTTATTAATTCTTTAAATATGTCAGAAAATTTCAATAATTGATGATCATGACTTACATAATGAGAGTCCTTCTCACTATATACATACGATTGTAAAAAATTTTCTATAAAATCATTTTTATTATTTATTATTTCTTTGTTATTCTTTGAAAATACAATCTTTAGTAGAGTGATATTACTACCTTGAGTAAATATAATATATTTATTCATAAATGGTTTTATGTTTTTCATATTTTTATTTAAGTATGCAAGTGGAACTGAATTTGTGTTCTTAAAAAATAATTTCAGGATATTTTCCCGCTTGATTTTTTTAAATACTAAAATATTATCATTTTCATTCTCTTCTGATTGTTTTATATCTTTATAATTTATATTTAAATCTTTTTCTTTTTTATTCATATCATCCATATTTTTTTCATGTAATTCTTTACATATTTCATCTATTTTTTTTTGCTTTGTTATTATTTCTTTTTTCTTGGTTTTTATTTTATTCTTTTTTTCTTTTTTTGAATAATTAAACATTTGTTTTACACAATTGTATTTTTTTTTTAATTTAATATTTTTACTCTTCTTAATTTTTTTTATAAAAAATATATCTCTATGTAGATATGTTATATTTATCCAAAAGGAAATTTTTTTATGATAATTTATTAAAAACACATAATTATTTGATAGATGTAGAATAAAAAAAATATCATCATGTGAGAAATTTAATATTTTGTTAATTTTCTCTTTTAACCTACAAATTATTATTTTTTTAGCACAATAATTTATGTTATTGAAGTAAATTAAAAGACAATCATAAGTACATAAATTATTACATTTATTATTTTCAATATTTGAATATTTTAAATTGAAATTTTTTGATGATTTATAATTTCGTTTAAATTTTTTTTTTTTTAAAATATGTGGTGTGAACATTGATACTAATACATTACTCTTTTCATTCTTTTTTTTTTTAAGTAGGATATAATTCTCTTTTTTATTTATACCCTTTTTACGAATTTTTATAAATTCTTTAAATTTATTATCACTATTTATCTGTTTTATTAAATTAAATTCATTTTTTTCTTTATTATGAAGTTTTAAAAAACTTTTTTTAAAAGTATTTTTTGTTTTTTTAATTTTTTGGTTTGCTATTTTATAGTATTCTGTTATATTACTAAAATGATACTTACTTCCTTTTAAATGTATAATTATAAAACTTATATGATAATTTGATTCATCCTTTTCCTCATTAGTATTATATATTTTTTTGTAATTTTTATCAGAATTTAAAGAACTTTTTAAATCTAATTTATTATTGTTATTAATGTCTTCATTTAATTTATTATACAACTTTACTAAACTTTCATCACTGTTGCAACTAAGATATGTATTATTATAGTTCGTTATTTTTTCATTAATAGTATCTATATAGTCAATTTTAGAAATCTGATTATCATTATTACACTTTAATATATTGCTAAAAGAGGTTAAATTGTTATTAAAACAAACACTTTTATATGACTCTGTACTATCTATGCAAGTGTTATTATTATAATCACAATTATTTTTTTTAAATTTTTTTAAACAATAAAAATTATCTATATATTCTTTCTTTTTCTTTTTTTTTATATTTTGTTCTTTTTCCTTCCTAATTTCTGTACTATCATTTATTCTTTTCTTTAATTTATTTTCATTTTTTAAAGTTTTTCCAAAGTTAAAAGAATAATTTTTAATTATGTTATTATTTACTCTTTTTCTTATATATGCTCTTATCTTTTTAAACATGATACACTTATCTTTATGTAATATTTCACTTATTTTTTCTTGAATCTTTAAAATATAACTTGTATTATATATATATTTATTAACAACAATATTATTATTAATTAAATTATTCTGAAAAAATTCAATTAAAGGATATCTCTTATTGTTAATAATATAAAATAAAAAAGAATAAAAATGATTATTAAAGTTTTTACATTTATTAAGAATAAGATATAAAATATTCTTATTTTTTGACAAAATGTTATAATCTCTTAAAAATAATTGATTAATTACATAAAAATAATTATTGTTTTCGTCTCCTTTTTCTTCATTATTATTAATAAAATTTTCAATGAAATTATCTAAATATTTTTCCTTTTCATTTTTTTTTAATTCTTCTTCTATAGTAGCAATTATTTCTTTTTTTTCTATAAGTGTATTAATTAAGAAGAATTCTTTTAAGATATAATTTCTATTTAAATGAATTTGAAAAATATCTGATACATTATTGTTTTTATAAATATTTATTATTTTTCTTGGTAATTTAAAATAAGAATTATTACTGTTGTAATATATCCCAATTCTTTTTTTATTTTTACCCTTTATCTTTTTAAGACACTCAATGTGTTTTTTTTTATTTCCTTCTCTCTCTTCCTTTAAGGGATTATTATTACTAGAAGTGATAGAATTATTATTACTATGATTACTTATCTTATTACCAGCAGTGGTAGAATTATTAATACTACTATTACTTATCTCATTATTATTATTAATATTATTGTTATTATTTATATTTTTCATTTTTTTTGTATAGATTAGAGAATTTTCTAAATAAAACTTAAAAGGACCATGAAGATTATTTAATTTTAGAAATTTTATAATATTTATATTTTTAAATTTATTTTTGTCATAATTAGATAGGATATTCTTTTTAATAAAACCAAAATATATTTTTCCATTTATTGATGTAATAATTGAAAATACAATATTTTTTTGATTATAATTTTTTATTAGAACTATATTATTAGCATTCATATTACTTTTAATCTTTAACATTTTGTTATTAAATGAAATAAAACTATTGTTGTTATAAGAATAAACATTTTTTGAATTATATTTACTACAATATTTTTCTGTTATATCATTATGATGAACATAATTTTTATCATAATCAATTTGATCCCTTAAAGTATTTAATTCGCTTATATTAAACTTAGATTTTAAATCATAATTATTCTTAAAAGGTAACTTATCTCTATATGAATTTTGTAACTCCATGTAGTTTTCATCCTTTTTTTTATTATTAGTTATACTATTATTATGATATTCATTTTTTAAAAAATTATTATTATATAGATCTTTTCTTATTTTTGTCTCTTTTTTAAATATCATTAAAGGAAAAACAAAAATATTTTTACTTTTAATTTTTTCTTCGCCAATCCTTTCATTTTTTATAACATTAAAATATTTTTCATCTATATTAAAAAGATTAATTAAATATTTATCTACTCTCCTTTTTACTTCATATATATAATTATTACCTTTTTCTATATTTTCATAATTATCATTTTTAAATTTTTTAATTTTATTAGATAAAAAAATAAATAAATTATTTTCACATAAAGCTATTGTATAACAATTTTTTTTAAATATTGTTTTTTTCTCTTTAGGAATTTCTTCATTTATTTTAATAGAATTAATAAAATAAACATAATTATTACCTATAAGAAATTCATCATAAACATTTATTATTTTTTTTTGATTTTTATAAAGTGTAAAATGCTTCAAAAACAGTATATTTGATATATTATTTTCACTAAAGATATCATATACCTTTACTACACCACTGTTATTACCAATTAAAAGGAAGTTATTTAATTTAATAATGCTTGTTATTATACTACTATTTAAAGAATCAATTTCATAGTAATATATTTCTGTTATAAATTCTTTTTTTTTATCATTTAAAATAATTGAATTTTCTTCTTTTTTAATGTCTTTTTTTGAAAAATTATTTTTAAAAAGTAGAAAATATCTCATTTTATTTTTAGTATAATTATTATTAATATCATTATTATAATTATTAGCATTATTATCAACAGTTACATTTAACGATTTATGGGTTAATAATATAGATGGATAAATATTATGTAAATTATTAAAATTTAAATAGTAAACGATCATTTTACAATATCTTTCTAAACCAATGCAAACTAATATATATGGAATTAATTTTAAATTTTTATTTAATGAAAATTCGTAATTAGTATATAAATATAAAGAATATATAGTGTCAGAAAAATAAAAAGAATCCACTATAAAAAATAGATTATTAATTATATCTATATAAAATATTTGAATTAACTTGTTTATATATGATATTATAAGAAAATTCTTTTCAAAATGATAATATAAAATAGTACTGCTAAGATTTAATTCAAAGAAATCTTCTAAATTTATAGAAATTGAGTTACTTTTTAATATATATTTGTTTATAATTATTTTTGTTTTATTTAATAATAAAACATAACATTCATTTTCATTTTTATATATACATCTTGCAAACAAAATGTATGATGTTACAAAATTTAATTTTTGCATTTCCATTTCATTAATTATATGGAATATTGATTTTTTATTTTTTTTATTTTGTCTTTTATTAAATTTATTTTTGTTATTGAGTATTATTTTCTTTCTTTCATTTAGTTTTTCTTTTATTCGTATTTCACAATTATTCACTTTATTTCCTTTCTGTAAAGAATTTATTATAGAGACTGAATCTTCAAAAAAACTATGTATATTTTTACTTAAAATGAGAATATATGTTGATTGAATATAATTAGATATACAAAGAATGTTAAACTTTTTATTAAAATTAATAAAAAAAAACTTACTATATGAATTATTAAAATTTATATTTTTTTTGCATAAAATTATATTATAACCAGCAATTATTTTATGAGAATAATTTTCTTTATCTAAAATAATTAGTTTATCTAATAATTTGGTTTTCAATTTTTTTATATCAAAGATATCACAATTTTCAGATTTTAATTGGTCTATTGATTTTATTGAATCATTTTGGAGCTGCTGTAATTTAAAAAACATATTACTTGCAAGATTATTAGAATAATTATTTATCACTTTTGATTTATATTTATAATCTTTAATTGTTTTTAGTTTGTTATAACTATAATAATGATCTCTATGATTTAAAAAGATATATTTATGCTTATTTTGTATAAATATATTTAATTTAATTAAGAATAATTCATCACTACTTTTCTTCTTTAATTCTAAAATGTAATTAGTTACTTCCTCAACTTCATGAATATTCTTAAAATAAGTATTTTTTTCATTAAAAATATTTAACAAAATATTGGATGATTTTTTTTTTTCTTTTTTTGAATTGTTATTATTTACACATATAATATTTGAACAACAACACACATTTACGAAATAATTATCATTGTTCTTAAAATCATTTTTATATATTAATACTTTGTTGTTGTAATAATCATATATAATTATTAATAAATACATTTCTTTTCTATATTTATCAATTATTAAATATTTTTTACTAAAAAAATTAAATAAAGAATGTGTATTTGTTTTTTCATTATCTAATGGTACTACTATATTATTTAAATATTCAACATATTCTTCCGTTTTTCGAAAATTATAATTTTTCATTTCCTTTTTAATATTATAATTAAAATCTGTTTTAATATTTTCATTATTCAAATAATTAAAATTTACTTCCTTTTTTCTTATATTGAAATTATCATTATTCTTCATTTCAGAAAAAGAATCATTTTGTGAAGATAATCTATTACGTATCATTTTTTCTTTATTCTTTTTTTTTTTTTTACATTCTGAATTATTCGGATGATAAAAAAATAAATATTTATTTTTCTTATATACTTCATTAAATGAATTTTTACTAATTTCAAACGATAGTAACAAGTTTTCCGTATTTGAAATGACACCATACTTTTTATTCTTATTCTCTACATTATTTTTATAAATTGATTTTCCTTTTTTTTTTGTATGACTGTTATTTTCACCACTGTTTTCATCTTTCTTTTTATTTTTTTTATCCTTCATATCTTTTTTTATTCTTTTTTCTATTAAAAAATCTTCATTATTATTATTTTCATTTTCATAGAACAAGTTACTCCTATCACATGCAGAACATGTATATGCGTATCGATATTTTTTCATAAACATTTTATATTTATAATGATAATTAAACATATAGGAGTAAAAACTATCAACGAATGGAATACCTTTTAAATCTCTAAAATTTTGATAAGAGTTAATGTAATTTTTTTTAAAAAGGAAATATTGATTTTTCATATTTTCTTTAATATAAAAGTTATACCATTTTTCATTTGAGAAATTATTAAAATGATTCATATTATATGTTTTGGTAAAATAATCTGCTAATAATATATTTGATTTAATTTCTTTATATGTATTTTTCTCCTTTGCAATTTTAATTAATTCTAATTCATATATATAATGAATATCATTTAAATAATAAAGGTAATAATTTATTAAAGTTAAATTTACATCATAAATATCAGAAAAACTAAATAAAAATATCACTTTTTTTGTAAATAAAAAAAATAAATTATTTAAAACTCTTTCAATTTTATATACCTCTAATGGTAATGTCAATTTAGCTATAGGTATTAATAAGTTATTTAACATTATGTTTTTTTTCCTATTTTGTTTAAAAAACAAAACATTTCCTGCATTATTATTGTTGGAAACTATTAGAATAATGTTACTTCTTTGATCGTCTTTGTTTTTAAATTTATTTAATAATATTTTTTCACGAAAATTTAAATAATCAAATTTCATTTCTTCTAATAATTTAGTAGCTATATGCTGCAAATTCATTATATTTTTTATTATTTTTTCTAATTTATGATAATAATAGGATAAATTATTTTCTTTCTGTACGTTATTATATTTATTATTTGATGGTATACTGTTGTTTAACAATTTAGACTCTTTGTTCAATGAGTTAAATATACGCTTCTTCGAAGAACTTTCATTAAATATTTTTTCATTTAAGAAGCACAATTTTTTATTTATTAAATAAAATTTCTCACTTATATCAAATATATTTTTATTAATATAATTTATATTACTTGCATCATTTTTATCAATATTTAGATTATTTGTATAACTGCAAAAATCTTTATTGAAATCATTTTGTTTTGAGTATTCAGAATACATATAACTATTATCAAAAAGAAACTTTAAAATGTGAAAGATAAAAATATTCAAAAAATATATATGAACGGATAACTCATATAATATTTTATGCTTGTTTTTTACTCTGTATAAATAAACAATAGAGTTATTTAACGTTTTATGATATGAACAAAATAACAAAATAAAACAGAATAATAATAATTTCATTCTAATATATATTTGAAATAATAAATTTAAGTTATATTGTTGTTCTAAATTTAAACTTGACTTTTTATTAAACAAAAAATTTTTTTGAAAGATGTTTAAATATGTAAAATCCTTTTTAAAAAAAAAAAATTTATTGAAGAAATATGTACATATAAGACAAGTATCAAAATTATGATTTTCATCTTTATCTAATAATTCTAACTTATCACATGAGAAATAATTATTGATTCTTGATTTACATTTAAGGTAAACCCATTTTAAAAATTTAAGATTAAGGTAATAATTTTTATTGAATTTTTTTAGAAATTGTAAATCTTCTTCTCCAAAGAAGATTGTTTTTTGTAAGTTATCTTTTAAGTTAATTATTTCTTCTTCTTCTTTTTCATTAAGAAATAAGATGTTTTTAATAAAATTATAATAATTATTTTCATTTTTTAAAAAGTAAATAAAAAAACAAATTTTTATATTTAAGCAATTTTCAAATTCATTGTAATAATATAAATTTTTTTTTTTTTTAATATTCCCCATATAATCTTTATTTATATTGAACATTTCTACATTCATGAAGTTTTGATTATATATGTTTTTATTTTCACTTTCACATTTATTAACATGTAACAATTCTTTATCATTATTATTTAATGTATTAATATTTGAATAGTCACTATTATAAAGGGTGTTATTTATAATAAATTTATGATTTTTATTTTTAGAAATATCATTCTTATTACAATATAAATTAGTTTTATCAAAAAAATAAGTTATGCAATTATTTTTAACATCTTGTAAAATGAATTCTTTTGAATATGAATATAGACAATTATATATCTTCATAACTTTATTTATGTTGTTTTTGTCATTTTTGTTGACGTTTTTAATTAAATTTTTATTTACATTTTGAGATACAGATTCACTTAAATATTTTTTTAATTTTTTATTTGAATATATCTTTTCCTTTACATCTTTTTTATTTTCGTTTTCAAGCCTTTTATAGTTATATTTTTTATGAAAATTGCCTTCTTTAAAATATACATGATTATAAGGACAACTTAAATAAATCATAAATGTTATATTTTTACAAAATTTAAAATAAGAACATTCTTTCTTGTTATTTTTTTCTATTATTTCTTTTTTCAGGTTAATAGGATATTTGTTTTTGTTAATTAAAATATGATTTTTGTTTAGTTTTTTCTTATTGATCCTTGAAAATAAATTCTTTCTTTTTACTTTATATATATATGCACTATATTCTTTAAAAGAAAAATATAAATTTTTTTTTTTTCTTCTTCCTTTTTCATTAACATAAATTATCGAATATTTTAATTTCAAAGGGTCATAAAAAATTTTAAAATTTTTGAAATTTGAAACACATTTTTTTTCAAATTTATAATTTAAACAATAATCTTCGATATTTTTATTTATTATGTTGTTTTCAATTTTTCTAAAAAACAGAAAATTTTCAATAGATATTAAAAAAAAATTTTTTATATTGCATATATTAATATATTTGTAATATTCTTCTATATTTCTTTCATTTTCACCCTTTTTCAATTTAAAGTATTCTTGAAAAATATTTAATTTATCTAAAAAAAAGTTACCAATGAAACAATATTCTACAAAACTGCCACTGAATTCTAAAATTCTAAAATTTAGTTTTTCATCAGCTATAATGAATCGATCTTGATTTTTATTTTCAAGTATCTAATAAGACAAAAAGTTTTATAAAATATTTGGAAAAATAAAATAAAAATAAGTGAAATAAGTGCACATTAACTCTTTAAAAAATAAAATAACAGAAACACGAAGGAATCATTTTGTTTTAAAAAAAAACTTAATCTCCAATAAAAACTTACTTGTAAAAATATTATTTTTAAAAATGTATTTTGGGTGTATATTGTGCTTTCATAATCACATTCTAATAATTCTAAGTACGTATCCTTTTATATATAAAAAAATAATATATATATAAATATATATATATATGCATATATGTAGATACATTTAAATGATTATGTATTAGAATAAAAAAAAAATATATATATATATATAAATGTATGTAGGAAATTTATTTACCTTAGCTGCAACAAGGAAGTTATTTTCATTATTTTTTATAAATTTACCTTTTATTAAAAAGTTCACTTGATTACTACTGTGGGCAGTTTGAACACATATCATTTTATGAAAAAATAAACGATTTTAAAAAAATTTATTTACATAAAAAAAAATTTAATATATTAATTATAAAGAATTATTAAAGCATACTTTTGTTATAAATTATGTTTCAAAATGTAAAGATTTTAATTTATAAAAAAATATATCTACTTTGTACAAATATTTTTATAAACTTATATATAAATAATTATAATAATTTATCCATAATTTTAAATAGTTATAAAAAAAAAAAAAAAAAAAAAAAAAAAAAAAAAAAAAAAAAAAAAAAAA